TGCTTATTGGGTATTCTGTTCCTGCCCATAAGGTTTCCAAGGCTGTAATCTTTATAAAAGCAGACTGCCACATCTTTCTCCCGAAGAACGAAAAACGGCTGGTGGGTTTGAACTGCTGGCCTTTTGATTAGCAGCAGCTGAGTGCTTAACCACTGTTCCATCAGGGCACCTTTGTGAAAATGAACAGCAAACAAAAATTTTTCTTCCACTATGAAACCAAAACCAAACCTGTTGCCGTCGAGTCCATTCCAACTATAGCGACCCTATAGGACAGAGTAGAACTACCCCATAGAGTTTTCAAGGAGCACCTGGTAGATTCGAACTGCCGACGTTTCGATTAGTAGCCGTAGCACTTAACCACTATATTTTCTTTTTTCTAAATTGCTTACTTGCTCAAATAATTGAATACTGTGGAACAGTGTTCTCATCTCCTCCCATCCCAGCAGCCATTTCCACAGTGATGGGGAGTGACGTCTACATGTGTCCTATATTCTCAAAAGATGCACAGATTACCCACTGCAGTACAGATAAACATGCATTATGCCCAATTTCTAGGTCTCCACCTATAATTCAACTCCTACTATAATCATAACATTTATCGAGCACCTACTATGTGCTAGGTACCTAAGAGCACTGTTGTTGTTAGGGGCATTTGTATCCATTTCAACTCATAGTGACCCTATATGACAGAGTACAACTGCCCCCACAGGATTTCCTAGGCTGTGATATTTACAGAGTCTTTTTCCCTCGGAGGTACTGGGTGAGCGGAAGGGTCAACCTTTCGCTGAGCACTTAACCATTGTGCCACCAATTTAATCCCCATGGCAACCCTGTGAGGTAAATACTATTATGATCCCCACATTACATAGGAGGAAACAGATTTTAAGTAACTTCCTCCAAGTCACACAGCTAGTAAATTGTAGAACTCAGATTCAAACTCAAGTAGTCTGATGTTAAGGCCTGTGCTCTGATGCACTCTGTTTTCAGAATGCAAACGAGAAAAACATTATCATGGGGTAATTCGATCTAACTTATTTTTAAGGCTATTATTTGCAAACTATAGTATTTTGTTGTTAATAATAAATTACTTAGGACATAACTCACAATTGATGGGGACTCACCAGGTCATCACAGAACTCTACCAACACATAAGAATTTAAGACAGTATCTTAAATGGCCCCAAATTCACAACAATTTCAACCTAACTGATGAAAATGGTTTGAGATGTTGACATGTCATGGGGTTGGCAATCAATGTCACGAGACAGTATGTGTATTGTTTAATGAGAAACTAATTTGCTCTGTAAACCTTCATCTAAAGTACAAAAAAGTTAATAAATATTTTTTTATAGTTACCCACACTGAAAAAAGAAGAAAGAATGAAAGACGGCACATAGCGAGGCATTCCTACAAAAAAAAGAAAATGGTTTGAGAATTTGCTGCTTTCCTACCAAAAAAATGTGTAAAATGAAAACATTCTATTTTAATTACTTGATTATTTTTTGGTAAGATTTTGTTGCCACAAATTTCTTCTGTATTTGTATTATCATGAAAGCCTCTAATTGTATTAAAACTGAATATTCTACTTGTATGATGCTTGTTATTAATGAATCAAAAACTCTTTCAAATCCTAATGTTCCTTGAGGAAAAAGAAAAACCAAAAATCAAATAGCTGGCCTAAACTTACAGGATTGTAGTATAGCCAAAGACAAATTTTCAGTCTTTTGATGTAAAATCTACTACTTTAGTGAGGAAGGAACCCTGGTTTAAGAAAGTAATTAAAATTAAATAGAAATTTAAAATACCTCAGATGTAAAACCCAGTATTATGTAAAAGGTATTTTCAAGGTGAGCTTAATTTTGAGAACTTCGCTTGACCTAATTTGACCTCTTAAATAAATGTCTGTCTCCCTCCCACAGATTTCAATAGCGGAAAAAATGTTTTATGAATTGCAGTTTATGTAGCAATATGAATGACATTCAAAAATTCAAAAGGTAAGTCAGAATGCAATGGGCAGAAAAATAAATCAAAATGTTATAAGAAAAATTCCAGTTTCACTTACGCCATGTTATATTTTGAAAGTAAGTCATGATAAATAGTTTTAATTTTTTTAACCTAATTTAGTTCATCTTTAAAGTGCAAGTGTGATTCCATTTCAAAATTCTATTTTAACAAGTTCCTTTTTCTAAATCATTTAAAGACAAAGTCAAGCAATGCCCTCTACAGGAAACCTTTAAAATAGCGATCATATTTCGATGACCCATAAACTTTAAATGAATACAAGATCTGTCACTTGAGTTAATGGCCTATTTGGCATCAAGGAAACAAGGGAAATTTCAAGAAAAAGAATTTCAAAAAATAAATAAAGAGATATGCAATGTAAAAAAGCCCAGTAACAATCATTCTAAATTATTAATACTTATTTCTTAAAATATTAAAAATAACCTAACTTTATGCCCAAGTTCACCAAATGCATGATCCATGGACTCTTGGCTATTTAATGGTGGCAGGTTAAGACTCATAGCTATTGCAAACTCAAAGACCTTTAAAGCTATAACCGGTATATAGAGAAGTCTCAAGTCTTGGAGACTAAACCTGGAAATTTTCTTTTTCCAATAATCCCACTTCCCCTCCCCCTGCCCACTGTTGAATCTTCCCTTCCTCTTGAGGAAAATCACTTTTAACTTGTTGACCAGATTCTGTTTTCAGTCACTTTCCGTTATTTGAAACAGTCTATTTCAGTTTCTAAGACTCAGATTCCACATTAGATTCGAAGCAATTTTTTTCCCTCTGCAGAATAAACCCACTCTAATCAGGGATGGTTTGTTTTTATATACTTTCTCCTCCTGTTTTTCTGCTCTCTTCGTCTTGGGAAGATATTAGAAGAGGTTTCCTTACTGCAATGGTTCTCAATATAGATTAAGCATTAAAGTCATCTGGGGCCCTGTTTAATATCCATAATATAAAATGAACTCCTACAACTCAACAACAAAAAGACCAACAACCCAATTAAAAATGGACAAAGGATTTGAATGGACATTTCACCAAAGAAGATATACAAATGGCCAATGTCATTATTGCTATTGTTAGTTGTCGTTGAGTCAATTCCGACTCATGACAACTCCATGTGTGCAGAGTAGAACTGCTCCATAGGGTTTTCAAGGCTGAGGCCTTTCAGGAGCAGATCGTCAGTCTTGTATTCCAAGGTGCCTCTGGGTGAGTTCGAACCATCAACCTTTCGGTAGTAGTCAGTGCGTTATCTGTTTGCACTATCCAGGAACTCCTGAAAAACTGCCAATAAGCACATGAAAAGATGCTCATCGTCATTAATAAAGGGAAATGCAAACCAAAACCACAATGAGATACCTTTTCACCTCCACTAGAATGGCTACTGTGATGGTTATGGTTGTGTGCCACCTTGGCTGAGCCATGATTCTCAGTGGCCTGGCAGTTATGTAATGTTGTAGTTTGGCAGTTATGTAATGATGTAGTTTGTCAGCTGTGTAATGATGTCATCATCCTCCATGATTTGATCTGATGTGATCAGCCAATCAGTTGTAAAGGGATTTTCCTCAGGGGTCTGGCCTGCATCCAATATATATATATGGGCATTCTGGCAAAGCTCGCTCACTTGCTCTGGATCCCATGTGGTTCATCATCATCTGACCTCTATCTAGTTCTTGGGACTTGAGCCAGTGGCCTGCCATATTGCCTGCTGATCTCAGGATTCGTCAGCCTCCACAGCCTGTGAGCCCACAGCTTGCCATCTTAACTGCCAATCTTGAATTCATCAGCCTCTGTAGCCTGGAGCCAGTGGCATGCTGTCTGACCTGCTGATCTTCGGTTTGTTAGCCCCTGCAGCTACATGAGTCAGCAGAAGCCTCTAGCCTGACGTCTGACCCATATACTTGGGACTTGCCAGCCTCTACACCTGCGTGAGCCATTTCCTTGAGATATATATATATGTATGCTTCACTGGTTTTGCTTCTCTAGATAGCCCAACCTAAGACAGCTATCTTCAAAGAAATGGGAAATAACCAGGGTTATTGAGGATGTGGCGAAACTAGAACCCTCATCCATTGCTGGTGGGATAGTAAAGTGGTGCAGCCACCATAGAAAACAGTTTGGCTGTTCCTCAAAAAGTTAAACATAGAATTACCATAAAACCAAAACCAAACCTGTTACCACTGAGTTGATTCTGATTCATGGCAACCCCATGTGTTACAGAGTAGAATTGCTCCATAGGATTTTCTGGCTGTAATCTTTACAGCAGATGGCTGTGCCTTTCTTCCCTGATCTCTGGGTGTGTTCTTGCAGATGTCCTTTAGGTTAGTAGACAAGCACAAACAGTTTGTACCACTGAGGGACCTACAATTACCATATGACCCAGTAATTCCACTCCTAGGTATATACCCAAAAGACTTGAAAGCAGGGACTCAGATACATGTACACCAATGTTCACTGAAGCATTATTCACAATAGTCAAAAGGTGGAAATAACCCAAATAAATGGATAAACAGAACGTGATATATACAGACAACGGAGTTATAACTCAGCCTTAAGGAGAAATGAAGTTCTGATACATGCTACAACATGGATGAATCTTGAAAACATGCTGAGTAAAATAATTCATGCACAAAAGGACAAATATTGCATGCATGATCCCAACTTACATGAAATATCTAGAATAGGCAAATGTATAGGGACAAAAGTTTATTGGCTGTTGCCAGGGGCAGATGAGAAGGGGAAATGGAAAGGTGTTGCTTAGAGAGATATTGATAAATTGCTTAGGGGGATATTGCTTAAGTTTGTTGTTAGGTGCCGTCAAGCCTATTTTCGACTCATAGCAACCTCAAAAGACAGAGCAGAACTGCCCCATAGGGTTTTCTAGGCTATAATCTTTGCAGGAGCAGATCGCCAGGTCTTTCTCCCACAGAACCACCAGATGGGTTCAAACCATCAACCTTTCTCCTAGCAGCCGAGTGCTTAACCATCCTGCTAAGTTTCTTGAGTGATGAAAAAAATTGGAAATAGATAGTGGTGACAGTTGCACAACATGGTGAACTTTAATGTCACTGGATTATACACATAAAGATGGTTGAAATGGCAACTGTTATATATTTCACAATAAAAAAAAAATTTTAAATCATCTGGGGCCCTGTAATAAAAATACCATACCTCTGACTTAATTTCCCAGGCAACCCCACCTGCAGCTACTTTGAGAAATACGGCCTTACTGTAGGGTTGCAATCCTTTCCCTACTTGGCTGTAACTGTTCTGATCTATGGGTTTCATCGTGCACAGTGTTCACTCCCACTCGCCTAGCAGACCAGGGGCTCATTCCTGAGCAGTTTCCCCAGGCTCTGGCAGTTCTGAGATTTGAGAGTTGGCTATATTCTGGCTGAACCCCATCACACTTCACTCATCTGCTGTACCTGCCTTCTACCCTCCTCACCATGTTGCTGTATAAGTCCCTTAGCCCCCAAGTCATGATTTCAATTCTCATACTGGCAGGATGCATCTTCAGTCTTTCTGCCTGACAACCCCCCACACTATAGCGCCAACTGCATTCCCATGCTGTGGTAGTAAAACAATGGATAAGCTTATCTGCTGGGTAAACATGAGACCAGGGGAAAAATACTGGTCACCCTTTCTTGCAGTGTCCTGAATCTTGACACATTCCCTCAGGCTTCCCTCCTGTGGCTTGAGTGGCATGCACCATTCCCTCCTCCATAGGGAGAGCCGGAAGGACTGGCCCTCATTCCCCAACACCACACTCCTCCAAAACGGGACTTCTCCCAGGCATGTTCCCTGAACTGGCACCCTCAGTAAGGTCTGCAGTGCTTGCTGATCCTAACTACCAGGGTGGTTCTCTGATCTTAGAATGTGGGAGACATCATACCTTTTGACCTCAGCTTTGGCTATTCAGTTTAGACAGTAAAAAATCACACTTGACATTGTTACATCTGAGGTACTTGAAACTTTTTCGTTTTTCTAACCAGTGTTCCTTCCTACCACTATAGTAGCATTTACATGACAAGACTGAACCTGTCGTTGGCTATATATACTACACTACTGTTAAGCTTAGGCAAGCTATTTCACTTTTGGTTTTCCTTCCATATGATAAAACTACTGTATACTTACGTACAAAATCCTAGGTCAGTTCCCCAAATGAAACTTGAGTTGAGCGTATGCAAACTGAGATGAGTGTATGCACTAAGATGATGCCAGAGACCAGTAAAGGAGCAGGAACAGCAGGACAGGGAAGGGAAGAAAGTCAAGCAAGGGTGTAATCTCCAACAAAGTTTCACAGAGGTGACTTCAGCCTGATTCCTCTGGGAAATTTTGGACTGTCAGTTGCACCAGTCTGAGGTAAAGGAGCTAGGCTTTCATATAGTTATGTCAAAGGGCACTTCAGGCCAAAGACCCACAGGTATTAGAAGTACACTGTAAGAGAGGGCATAAAAAATGGTGAAAAGGGATACAAGGAATCTGGGTGGACTACTATAGCTAATGTCAAACTTACAAGTTCCATAATGCCATGGGAAAAACTAGAAAGTGGTCATGTAGCCTAAGATTTCACAGATAAATAGTTAGTGGTATCGGTATCTAGTAAAGTATCGGATACTCAGGTTACACTAACTCCATGGCACCTAACAACACAACTGCTTGGTAAGCTACTTAATGAAATGCTAAGGGAAGAATGAACAAAATATTTTGAAACAAAGTATTATGACGCTAAGCAAAGAACTTTTAATATTGAAGCAAGCATGAAGCAAAGAACTGTTTGATCCTTAATTTCTCTAAAGAGGGCTACTTTTGCTCTTTCTTGAACACAGTCACCTGCTTTAGATTTTCATTTTCTTCAAAGCTATTTCTAAACATTCACAAAATCACAGGTCTCAAAAACAATGTTTATTTTAACACATATAACATCTAGCACCAATGCTTGTAAGTAACAGAATTTCATCAGGTTACTATTACTCTCTGGAAAGGGGGCGACTGAAGTCCTTGACAGATTAGTCTATGTGAGGAGATAACTGACTACCGTGATAACATACAGACCACACAGAGTCAAAATCACTTGGTATATTTCTTCAGAACTACATTTGTAGTTATTTAAAACCTTTGATATTTCATATAAACAAGTTAGCTTAATACCAGTGTTTTTAGCCAGATTTTCCTGGAAGATATACATGTAGGAAAAGTGTATGAGCCTAAAACTGGGCTTTCTATTCTTACACCATTTTCAAATGAAAAAATTTATATAAATACATCCCCTCCCCACAAATCTCCAGATTTGTCTTATTTTCTTCTCAATAACTCACCACAGTATAATTTACTATTTAAATCACATAGAAATGTATGATAGAAGAAAATAAGAAATACTTTGGCTAATATAGGTATACAGGACAATATTCTCGGCTTTTTAAGTATTAAAGTATCTTAGAAGCAATGAAGTGAAAGACACATGATAAAACCTGCATAATTATATATAAAATCAAAACCTTTTTAAAATTTATCATGAATACAAACTAAAATTTACTGGTTTGCATTTAAAACATCATAATATAGCAATAAATTTCTATTAAGAAATTTGATTAATTTATCTCAAGTTTCCTGAAAATATGCAAAGTCAACCATGCTGCTTCACTGTTCACTTTTGGCAGACTTTAGGCTAATCTCAGTAACAATCTTTATTTGAGGAGCAAATGATTCACAATGTTTCTTCAAAGCAGAACTTTATGCTGAGCTAAGTAACCCATGTTGGATTTCAGGCCCACTGGCAGGCAGGTAGTCAGTTATTTTTCTTACTGCAGGCAGTTCATGGTGATAGCCATCTATGCATTCGCTCTTTACGGTCATGCTGGAGAAATCTGTGAACACAATCTTCTCATGCTGTATTCACATGCTTCACTCACACCTTAAGTTATCCAGGTTGTTACAAGGCTTGGATAAGACGGCTAAAGGCTTCATGATGGAAATTTCTAAAAGAGAAAAGGAGAAACTTTAAAGATTGATTTCTCATTACCAATTAAGTATTTACTGGATACTAATACTAGGTGTTATGCTTAGTGTGCTAAAGGCAATTCAGATGAACAACCCTGTATACAAGTTTAGAGATGGTTCTTTGCTGATAACTAAAAGCACAGGCAACCAAAGAAACAACAGATAAATTGGTCATTATCAAAATTAAAATCTTTTGTGCTTCAAAGGGACACACTATGAAGACAGTGAAGACAGCACACAGAATGGGAGAAAAGTATTTGCATATCACGTGTTAGGTAAGGATCTAGTATCCAGAATACACAAAGAACTCTTACAACTCAACCATAAAGAGACAAATAACCCAACTTAAAAACAGGAAAAGTATTTCTCCAGTAAGCACATGAAATGGTGCTTATTGTTACTGGCCACTAGAGAAATGCAAATCAAAACCACAATGAAATACCATTTCATACCCACTAAGATGGCTTTCAGAAACCCTGGCAGCACAGTGGTTAAGAACTACAGCTGCTAACCAAAAGGTCAGCAGTTTGAATCCACCAGGTACTCCTTGGAAACCCTATGGGGCAGTTCTACTCTGTCCTATATGGCCGCTATGAGTCGGAATCGATCTGACGGCAATGGGTTTGGTTTTTTTTTTAAGATGCCTATAATGAGAAAGATGGACAACAAGTTTTGGTGAGGATATGGAGAAAATGGAACCCTCATCCATTGCTGGTGGGGCTGTAAAATGGTGCCGCTGCTTTAAAACAGTTTGGCAGTTTCTCAAAAAGTTAGAGTTACCATCAATTCCACTCAGAGGTATATACCTAAAAGAACTGAAAATCTATATTCACACAAAAACTTTTACATGAATGTTCATAGCAGTAGTATTCAGAATAGCCTAAAAGTGGAGACAACCCAAATGTCCATCAACTGATGAATGGATGGATACTATGGCATATCCATATAAAGGAATATTATTCAGTCATAAAAAGGAGTGAAGTACTGCCACTTGCTACAACATGGATGAACCCTGAAAACAGTGCTGAGTGAAAGCCAGACACAGGAGGTCACATACTGTGTGATGTCATTTACATGAAATGCCCAGAGTAGGGAAATCTAGAGACAGAGAACAGATTGGTGATTGCCATGAGGAAAGGGTACTGACTGCTAAAGGGTATGGGATTTTTTTTGGGGGTGATGAAAATGTTCTAAAATTAGATGTGGTGATGGTTGCACAACTTTGTGAACTACCGAATTGTATGCATTGAAAGGGCCTATTGTATGGTATGTTAAGTTTATCTCAATTTTTTAAAAAAGGTTCTCTATAAATAAAAAAGATTTTATATTAAGGAAACTCAAAATCCTTATACCTCAAAATATTCTACTTATAAAGCTGCACAACTGCTTCAACTTAAACCAGATTCCTTAAGGTACAAAACATTTTTTGTTTATCTTTGTTTATCTCTAGAACCATGGCATATAAATGTTGATCTAAATTACTAATCCCACCACCCCTTTCTTTATAGTCCTGACACCTATCCCTATGCCCTAAAAAAACCAGTTATATTTGCTTTTGGCTAAAATTCGGAAAACTACATCATGAAGAAATTCCATCAAAGCAAAGTAACAGTAACAAGTGGGGCTTGTTAAATTTAGCATCCTTAATTCGTAACATTTATCATGTTGCTGCTCTGTTATCAGTCACATACACAAAAGGCACTGGGGATACAAAAATGGATGGGATACAATTCCTCCCTTCAGCCAGAATGCTCCTTAGAAGCAAGGATAGCAAGACTTCGTCTCACATACTTTGGACATGTTATCAGGAGGGACAAGTCCCTGGAGGACATAACACTTGCTAAAGTAGAGGGTCAGCAAAAAAGAGGAAGACTCTCAACCAGATGGACTGACACACTGGCTACAACAATGGGCTCAAGCATAACAACGACTGTGAGGATGGTGAAGAACCGGGCAGTGTTTCGTACTGTTGTATATAGGGTTGCTAGGAGTCAGAACCGACTTGATGGCAGCTAACAACATAGGCTCAAACTCTAGGTAGTCGTACAGGCAACTTGCATCTTGTGTGTTAAGTGTTATAACAGTCAAAGGAAGCACCAAAAAGGGGGAAAGACATAAATTCTACTTCATTAAAGGGTGCTTTTATGGGCAGATCAGCCCTACTAACAGTTTGAATGACTGGAGAGAATGCAAAAAGGTTAGAACTGGTATTTTAAAATGTCTCAGAAATAACAGAAGCTTTTAAGTAGCTAAGTCATTTGTCATTTGTCAGTGGCAATGCTCAATTTTTAAAAAAATTTAGAGTTGAAAAGGATCTTTACAAAAGAGCTTTATTTTAGAGGAAGACCCCAAGGTCAGATAGGTTAAGTGATTTGAACAGTGAGAGCTAGTGCCTGGATCCAGCAAATCATAGCTGTTTATCCACATCAAACCAATACCTGCACCACACCTGAGCCCAGAGACAGGGTGTAGCTGATGATAGCTCCTCAGAGGATGAAAAGCCAGGAATCTATTTACCGATTTCTTTTTCCTGATGTATAAAATATGAATATCTTCACTTCGATATTCTTCATCATGTTTTTCCAAAGGAATTTTTTCAAAGTCAAAGTCCAGTTGAAGGAGCTACAAATATAAAAGAGAATACGTCAAATTCATTAATAGAAACTGATCTATGGTGACAGAAGGCAGAACGGCGGTTGCCTTTGGAGGAGTACTGACTGGAAAGAGGCATGTGGGAGCCTGCTGATGCTGAATATGTTCTATAGCCTGATCTTGGGTGGCAGTACTTAGTGCATACACAGGAAAAACTGAGCTGAGCACTTGAAATGTGTGCGTTCTAACATATATTTTAACTCAACAAAATGTTTGAAATATTACAAGCTCAATTACAGCCTTCATATTCAAGAAAAACATGAAAAAAACTTTTCTAGCACGTTATCTGAGGCAGAGTCATCTACCTACTCTCTCATTAAACCAAAGTACTCCTTTTAGCTAATGAAATTGCAGGGCTATACAGATACCCTGGTTGGTGCAAACGGTTAACATGCTCAGCTGTTAACTGAAAGGCTGGAAGTTTGAACCCACCCCAAGGTGCCTCCGAAGAAAGGCTTGGTGATCTACTTCTGAAAATTCAGGCACTGAAAACCCTATGCAGCACAATTGTACTCTGAAACACATGGGGTCGACATAATACATGGGGTCAGAATTGACTCAACAGCAACTGGTTATAGATGCACCCTAAAGAGGAGTCACTTTTAATTAGACGGATTTTTGTCCATGAAAAGGGTTTGGGTCACTTGTGGGGGAAATATACACAGAACTGTATTATACTACTTTTGCAACTTCCCATGAATCTATAATCCTTTCAAAATAAAAAGTATGAAAAAAAATGCTGAAAATACAAAGGATATCTAGGTCAGAAGTTTTGTAAAACTCACTTGCATATTTCTATAATGTATTCTCCAAAAGTAATATATGTAACATTAATACATTCCCAAAACCCACAGTCATGTTTAATAAAAAAAAACATTGAAACCTTTTCTCAGAAAAACATAGACAAGAGTGTCATCATTATTGTTTTACATTGTTTTGGAAATAATAGATCAAATTATTAGAAAAGAAAAAAAGTGTCAGAAAAGATGAGGAAAAAAAAAAAAAAAAAAAAAAACGGCAAGGGATTTGACAGAATGGTAGGATGTGAAGGATCCTCTCCTTAGGTTCATACTAGCAGAATGCTTTTCCCACCCCAAATGACCATCATATACTTGAACAGTCAACTAACAACCTCCGTAAAGGACAATCGCTACCAAGAGCTAGTACTTACCTCAAAATACTTTTTCTCAATTTCTGGATTTTTTCCCATTGTTCGTTGTTCATAACAACATATAATACAAGTTTCAGATCCACTGAGATCTTTTAGGGTTTTCAGCAATGGCTCCAAAGACTGTTCAAAAAGGAATATATTTTTTATGACTCCAAAAATTTTCTACTGTAAAAGGGGAGTGGGGAAGAGGAGGGAGTAACTGTAACTCCCCTACATTTCAGCCATCTTAGAATCAATCCTACGAAGTACACTTAAGTTAAGCTCCATAACTAATGGTTGGTAAACTCCTCTGAATTAATCAACCATTGTATTGATTTCAGTTTCCAAGAAAGGATTTAAGTATGTGCATTTTGGAGTTCCCCCAGAGAAAACAAATGGAGTCGACTACATTCTTAAATTTTAAACTTTATTTAATCTAATTTAACTTGAATTTCAAACAATCAACCAACAATTTACCCTATCAGACCAAGTCTGATACTAACTTGAACATTGGTTGACTTAATGCTCATTATTTAAAAAATGAGTGATGCCCACGTTATACAAACTGGTATTTAAAGAAAAATCATTCCACGAGTCTAATAAATCTTGTCACAGAACAATGAATTCTTTGCAATACAAACTAATTCTCAATGTCATGGTTAACATATTCATTGGGACGGCTAAGGTTTAAAAAAAAAAGACAATCTTAGCCTTTCATAATAGTTCCAAATGGCAAAATCCTTTAAAAATTTTAAATCCTTTTAAAAAAATGTTTTTAAAAAGCCTCTAATAAAACACAAGTAACATCTTTCTCAACATACATCACACGCCTGTATGTTAATCAGGAGTGTTTTATGTATGTAGTCCCTAGTTATCTTTGTCTTCTCTTTACTGCTCCTGTCCTTACAGCCCCGTTGTAACTAATTAGTCTTCATAACTAGGACTGACATCAGGGCAGAGACCTTGTCTTAGATTTTGCCATGAAACCAGCATTACTTAGGCAAAGGCTCAATAAACACTAAATATGGCATCAACTATATGCCCTGGTGGCGCAGTGGTTAAGAGCTCAGCTGCTAAGTGAATCTACCAGCTGCTCCTTGGAAACTCAATGGGCCGATTCTACTCTGTCCTATAGGGTCGCTATGAGTCGACTCGACAACCACGGGTTTTGGATACTCCACGGAAACTAACAACAACTTAGGAAAACGTGTATTTTAGAATACGTGAAATACGGTGTGCCTTTTAAAGAAAGAAACTTCACTCATTGAACAGTTACCTCCTCATAGTATATGCAGTCGGCCATCAGTATGTAGTCCGGTGGAGAAGGGAAGTCTTCTGTTTCTCCCCCCCTTAAAAATGTCAGACAAACATTTTAACTTTTAATAGTTTTAAATGCTCTTGTTTTCATAAAAAGAACCAGAAAGTTTCGTTTGTATTAACCATGCTTTTAGTGAAACGCAACTTAAAACAAACTACAAACTGTTATCTTAAAACAAGCTGAAAGGCCATACAAACCATTTCAGTACCTTGGCTTGAACAGAACCAGTGACAAGTTGCTTGTTCATATTAATATTGATTTTCAGCAAGTCTTGCAATTCCTCAAGGTCGGTGACCACAACATCCGCCCTATAAAGTAACGTCGATTGAGGGGGGAAGCAGAAGGTAGGAAGCCAGTAATCAGCGTTTCCCGAGAGCAAGCGGCCTCCCTTCTCCCAACTTACCCGAGAGTAGCGGCCATAAGCCCCACGGCCCCGGTGCCGGAGCCCAGTTCCAGCACCGACCGCTGGCTCAGGGCGTGGTCCCCGTCGCCAGAAAACCCGGGCGTTTCTAAGTATTTAGAAAGGACAATGGCAGCGTCCCAAACCACGCAGCCCACGCCGCCAGAACCGTACTGCTGCAGTCGCAACACCGTGCCATCCCGCTTCTCCAAAGTCCGCACAAAGCTCCGCAGCGTGTCCTCCTCCCAGGACTCTGTATTAGCCGCCATCGCTGCCCGGCAACCCGGAACGGCGCGCACTGTGACGTCTCACTCACGCCCACGGCCCCGCGCCTCCTACCGGCGAGCGTTTGGCGCCACTGCGCGCGCGCAAACGCACAAAGCCCGGAAGGCAGCGTTCCCCGGGCGTTGCCGAGCCCGGGAACACCCGCACCTCCTACACCTTTGGCGGCCTTATAAATTTGGCTTAACGAACAGCGTTTTAAATCACTTTTCCACACAAGGCTAGTGTTATAATCTGCTCTTTTAAAAAACAAAATCGAACTGTTTTTACCTGATTGGAGATTTATTGCACACAGTTGTTACTGGCAGCTTCCAAGATCCTACCAAAGGATGACTATAAAATCCTAGGAATGCCTAACAAAGGCTGCTGGAAGCCTGCCGCTTACATTTAACAGTAAAGGCAAAATGATTTCTTAAAATGTACATCCCTTGAATTCTCTGGGATTATGTAATTTAAATTGCACAAATACTGGAAATAATGTATTATCTCTACAAAACTCGCCAACCTCCCCCTTTTTGTTCCTTATAAGGAAAACACATTTTAAAAGTCTTTTAAAAATTAAGATGGGGTGATTTATTAATCTTGTTAAGAACTCTGATACAAAGCACAGTAAAAGGCCACAGACCAGTAAATACAACAACGTGGCTTTTGGCTACTTTACAACTGCTGTTTCGGCACTTTCATCAAAACATGCTTTCATTACTTTGAATGAAGATGTCCAAATGGCAAATAAAAGTTTTACTCACTTCTCTGATGAAAAAAGTTTAATAAAGCTTTAAGCATTTGCTGGTTTAAATACTACCAATCTAAAAAAATATATATTTTAAAAATTTCAGTTAACACGAGATTTATAAAGAAAGTTACTAGGCAGATTTGGTTCCTATGCCATAAGAAATGTTTCCTCTGAATTTATGAATTAGTAAAGTAGCAGATTGTATTATAAGCCTCAAGTCACTTAAATTTATATAGGTTATTAGCATTATCTTTAAATATACAATATAAACAAAACTGTACATACATGGCATATTAACTTTGTTTTTCCAAAACAATAGGCAACTCATTAGCTAAAGACACCTTAGTCTGCAAAAACAAAAGGCACATCTGAATGAGATACATGCTACATAATGGGCCCTTTTTTCCTTTTCCTTTGAATAATTGAGTTAGGTAGTCTTTGTTTACATTTTGACAAAATAATAAACATTTACAGTGCACTCTATTGTTTTCATTTTTGTCTTCAGCAGCAAATACTGGCATTTAAGACATGGCATTAAAGAGTTTAAGAACAGTGGGTGTTATTCACAATTCTCCTAGATGTATGAAAAACTAGAAGATGGTCAAAGAGGTTTAAAAAGCAGTAACACTATACACCCCCTATATCTGTGTAAATTCATTGCCTTAAAAAGGCCTCTATTACTCAAATTTGAAAAATTCCACAAATGCGCTAGCCCCTTTCAGTGCAATCAATGTCACTTTAAACCGTATTTTAGCAGAGTCTAAGTGCAAATATAAATTCTTTATACTGGCCTTTTGGCAGCACTGAGGATCTAAAACAAGGCAATGCTACTGATCACCTGAGGATAATGGTGAAAAGCTTTTGTATTCTTATTTTTCCAATTTTTAAAAGCTTATCTGATCAGCAGCATTTTTGTAAGAGCATTATTTGTAAAAAGTACTAAAATACTATGCCATTTTTGAATAAATAAAAAAAGAACTTTACAAATACCGTTCCAGTGTCAATGACTACATATGGCTAAGGTCATTGAGGAGTTTCTGCATTTTCTAGCAAAGGCAGTCTGTACAATGAGGGGTGCAAAAGCTCCCGTTTGTAAGTCTTTGGTGGCAGTTTGGGTAGATGAGGGCTTGAATTCTGCCTTGGTGGAACAGGGGGAGCTGGAGGATGAGGAAGATTATTTTGACTAGAACTGAGCACATAGCATCGACGTGGTACCCTTGGAGAGGGTGTGCTAGGAGGAGTGTTTGGCGAATTTGGACACGTACTAGCATCTCTGACATCTCTGTGAAGATGCCCCATTGGAGGCGGCTGAAGATTAAATGGACAGTTTATGAAGTGTTCTGGAGGCCGAAGGGGAACCGGTGGAGGGGTATCAGGAAGAGGATCTCTTGGTGGCGGTGGAGGTGGACTATGTAGAGGCCCATCAAATGCACCAATAGGAACAGGAACTCTGGGTTTTACTTTTGGAGGTGGCGGCTGTCTTGGTGGAATAGCAGGGGGGTCATCATCAGATTTCATATTTCCCTCAAAAATAAAAATAAAATTAAACTATATCTCTGTTTTCCTGGGAAATTCGTAAGAAAAAAATTTTTAAACATTAAAATATAATTATGTATCAAGTTAAATTCAGAGGCTCGAAACACTTACCTGGTTTAATTATCAGATTTATGAGTAAATTCCTCCCAGCTTAACTCAGGGCCCAGTTTAATATTTTTATATATCAAATGTTCTATTTTAGAACATCTAAGCTTGGGGCTTTGTGTATATGGTTCATAAATTTATGAATTATTAATTATTTATAATAATCGACAAGCAAGTAAATATATGAAGCTTTCTAGACACAAAAAGAAAAGGATGTCAAGAAGGCTTAATGTCCAGCTTCTGCTTACTGGGCACATACTTCTACTTTTCCCACTGAGGCTTAGAGCAGTGGTTCTCAAAGTGTGATCCAGGGACAAGCACCATGAGGGAACTTGTTAGAAATTCAAGTTCTCTACTGAATCAAAAACTGTGGGGGTAGGGCCCAACAATCTGATTTTAACAAGCCCTCAGCGATTCTGATACACCCTAAAGTTTGAGAAGTCCTGTTTGAAAGTTAAAGGGGCCCTGGGGGCACAGTGATTAAGCACTTGGCTGCTAACCAAAAGGCTGGCAGTTCCAACCCACCAGCGGCTCCATGGGAGATAGATGTGGCAGTCTACTTCCAGAAAGATTACAGCATTGGAAACCCTATGGAACAGTTCTACTCTGTCCTATAGGGTCGCTTTGGAGGCAGAATCAACTCAGTGGCAATAGGGTTTTTGGGATTTGAAAGTTTGAAGAATATTTTGAATATTAATGTTTTTCAGAGTACTGAGTACTTCTAAGTATCAGTGCAATCTACCCAGCCTCTTTCTTAGAAAAGGTACGAGGAGGATTAAACAATTATTAAAAGTACTTTTCAAATATAACAACCCAAATGTTTAAACACCATAGAGGGTAGTCAAATTATAATTCACAAAGTCTTTATAAGAAAGAACACTATTTTGAAGATTCACAACTCTGAATAAGCTGAGGCAAACGTCAGTCCTACAGACTACCTTGGAATTTGAAGCATCGTGGTCAAACTTTTTTCGAGGAGGAAGAGGAGGAGGAACCAGTGGCTCTTCACTTAGTTTATGTAAACTACCGCACGAACTGAAGAAAGACTCTGGGGAGGGAAAAGATTCATTTAGCCAGAATTCACAGTGCAATAGTAAGACCAAATTGTTATCAAAAGATATCCACCTTGAGCCTGTGATCACCTTTGCAATGGCATTTGTGTTACTGTTAGTTTACCTATCCTCCCCATTAAACTACAAGCTCTTTAAGGGGAGGGTGTGTGTTAATCTTTGTATCCCTAGCACCTAGCACAGTGCCTGATACTGTATTTTCAGATTACTTTCCAAAAGGGTCATACCAATACACCAATTTATCTGGAATAAGTAATGTATGAGGGTGCCTTTTAACACAGGCTTTCTCGTACTTAGGAAGAAAAAAAAAAGTTAACTCTAAAGACTTAAAATGGTAGCTCACAATGATTATCTCAGATTTCTGGTGATGCTGAACAGTTACTTATGTTTCTTTACAAGATGAATTTTCTTTCATGTGAACTATCTGTTCATGCCTATTGTTAATGAAGTGTTGCTGTTTTTTTCGTTGTGAGTACCTTTAATACTTACCATAAATACTTTTTTCTTTAGTGATTTGGTTTAGGACATTCAGAATTTTTTATCGTTATTCTCAATATCTTCTATTAAATTTTAAAGCATAAAGTTTTCTTATGGAAAATGTATTTTACTATCACTCAACATAATGTCTAGAACTGCTGGTTCTAAAATGGCACAGTAAAGACATTTCTACCACAAAACAATAAGGGAAGTGAGAAACGAACAAAAACTTCAATAGAGCCAGGAATCTAAATCCTGAAACTACAATGCATATGGAAGAGACAAATGGAGGAAGATGAAACCTAAATTCCTATAGATGGAGACACTGACAGGCAGAAGCAAAACTGTCCCCCTGAACCAAAGGAGAGACTAAGAGTTAAAGGCACTTGGTACAATGGAAAGCATGGGCATGAAAACAGAGGAAATAGATAAATGTGTATAAGGAGCAATTAGAAGCGCAGCCCCCTATCTCCCACTCTTTGAGGCCAGACAAGAGCCAAGCAAGTTATCTTATTCCTACCCCTGCAGAAGACTTGAGGTTTTATTCTCTGGAGATCTAAACCCCAGACCTGGGGACACTAGTAAGATGCTGTGCTGAAAACACAAGAGATTCATACTAAATGTTGAGACTCCTAGACAGGAGATTCAAAGAGAAAGCTCTGGAAAAACTAACAGTCCTAGAGAAATGGCCTATAGATGTTGACATTTGGGGATTCCCCCAGTAAAAAATCTCACCACTCCATCGCTCTACAGTGAAACCTACAAGTCAACACGTTCTGCTCTGGATATAGGGCTTCCCATTAGTTTTATATTGCCTCACTCTAAAATATGAACAAAAAGCTAAGAACATCAAACAAGAAAAAAAGGCCTCTAATATGAAAAACAAGAGAAACAACTCAGAGAAAAGAGGCAATACCAGAAACAAAAAGTTTCAAAAATTCTATAATTAATATTCTAAGAGATCAGAGAAGACAGTCCAACCATGAAGCCAGGACAGGATGCTATAAAAAAAAAAAGGGAATAATCAGAGGGAACTAGGAAGAATTCTTGAAAATTCAAAATCATGACAGATGGGAAAAAAAACCAGAAGAGTTGGAAGACTAAATGAAGAAATGTAAGAACTCAAAAACTTTATATCCCATGAATCTTTCCTTAGGTAGCTATCTACTAGAGAATGTGTCCCCAACAAC